AAATAAAACCAACTTTCGTGGTACGAAACCATTTATTCAAGCAATTTCACAAAAATAAAAATGTAATAAATAAATCCAGGACTCACTCCCCCTGTTCCAAAGCATCCTCCAATCTCTGTTTTTCCACCAACTTGTAGTAAATTTTCGTTTGCCAAACATCGTCACTTGGCAGTACCAAATCGTAGGGTTCTTCCCCGAAAACCCCATCGACCATTTCGGTCATCATCCGAGGCAAAACTGCCGACAAGTTGCCCTCGCCGAGGGAACTAAAGTTGACCCAGAGTTGGTGGTGGCCCATGCTAGTGCCATATACAGGCTGTTCCCAAAAAAACACCATTAAAAAAATCAACAAAAACCCTAATTTTCCCCTAGAAGTTTGCCCAAATTTGGGAAATTGGAAAGAGTTGCGAAAAAAATTTTTTGTGTGTTTTGGGTGAAATTGTGTGTTTTTTCGACCAGCTTGAGGGTTTGGAATTCGAGAAAACGTAATTTACTGTCGTTGACAGAATGTCGTGTATTGGTGGATGTATAATTTTGTATCGATTTCTGTTCACATTTCATAATTTTCTGTTTTAATAAAAGAATTTTACGATTGGGTTAGCGAATTATAGAGGATTGGCACGCAGGAGAGGCTCATTTATTTCAAATCTGAATTGTTGCGAAATGATTTTTCATATCATGAAAAAATGCAATAAAAACGAACGTTTGAGACCCAAAACAAGTGTTAAAAAGAAAAACTAAATATAGATAAAAATAAAAATGAATAAGAAAGTGATAAAAAAGAATAGTAATTAAAAAGAAGAATTTAAAAAATATAACTAATATAATAAAAAAAACAGAGAAAAGAAAGAGTAAAAATAAGAAAACAATAAATAAAGATGAAATAATGAAAAAAGAAAAAGAAATGAAGAACAATTGTGGCCAAATTTGCGAAAATACATCTCAAATGAGACATATTTTCACACACAGCCACCTTGATTACGCAGCCATTGACATTTTTGAGGCTCCTTTGACAATTTTTCACAAACTTACTTACATAATATGTCACATTGATGTGTCAAAATTTCGTAAAAAATAGTCAAAAATGTCATTTTCCAAGCCGAATAAGTTGACTAGACTGCCGGGAGGGTTAATGAGCCATTTTGACTAGAGAATAATTTTTGTAAAAAAATTGAGTCGATTAAAAAAATTTGTCACTAAAAAATTACAATTTTTGGAACACAGCGTCTCATAATTGCCCTTAGTCTAAAATAAAAACAAACCAAGGTGTAAATCTGTAAGAAATTACTAGTGCAAAAAGTCAAAAATCGTCAAAATTTGACATTCGACTATAAATTTTTGACAAACAAATTGACAATTTTGTAAACAACACGTAACAAAACTCAATTTCTTTATAAATTTGTAAAAAATTCCAGCTTTTTACTTCAAAACTTGTAAAAATTTGACACACAACTACACAAAAATTGTCAATTTTGTAACTAAAGCAAGTCATAGACGCCTGTAAACTACACCAAAATCCAATTTGTTTATATCTCCATAAAAAATTACTAGTTTAAAATGTCAAAAATTGACAATTTTGTAAAATTATGCGCCAAAACAGGCTTCATACTACACTAAAATTTAATTTATTTTTTAATTCCTGTAAAATTATTGATAAAAAATGTCAAAAACTGTCAAAAATTGTCACTCGTTTGTAGAAAAATTGACAATTTTGTAAAACTATCGCGACATGGCCGCCGCTAAGCTATACACTAAACTTCATTTTTTATTAATTCAAAAAAATGACTTGTGCAAGACGTCAAAAATCGTTAAACTTGTCAAATTTTTGACAAAACTTGACAATTTTGTAAAGGTAACATATCATAACCGCCTCTATGTTTTTTTTAATTTGTAAAATATTATTAAAGGAAAACGTTAAAAAGTGTCAAATTTAGCGATAAAAAATGATAATTTTATAAAATTAACGCGTCAGAGCCCCCTTTACACTGTAATAAAAACCAATTTTATTTAAATCTGTTATAAATTACTTGTCCATAAAATCAAAAATCGTCAAAATTTGACACTTGATTACAAATTTTTGACACAAAAATTGACAATTTTGAAAAAATATCGCCTCATAGCCACTTTTATACTACACTTAAATTCAATTTCCTTCAAAATCGTCTAAAAGTACAAAACGTACAAAACAAAAAGTGCAAAACGTCAAAAATCGTAAAAATTTGTCAATTTTTGACACAAAAATTGCCAATTTTGTATAATTAGGCGCCAAAACAGGATTTGAGCCACATTAAAATTCATTGTTTTCTTAAATTCCTGTGAAATTATTATTAGAAAATATCAAAAACTGTCAAAATTTGTCACACGTTTGCAGAAAAATTGACAATTTTGTAAAATTATCGCGACATAGCCGCCACTAGACTATACACTAACTCCATTTTTTATTAATGAAAAAAATATATTGGTACAAGACGTAAAAAATCGTCAAACTTGTTAAATTCTTGACAAAAAATTGACAATTTTATAAAAATAACGTTATGGCCGTCTCTAGACTACATTAAAATTCAATTTTAATTTTTTTTTTAATTTTCAAAAAGTCAAGACTTTGACACCCGTTTAAAAATTTTGACACAAAACTTGACGATTTTGTAAAGATAACACATTATAGCCGCCTCTATACATTTTTTTTTACACAGTTGTAAAATATTAATGGAGAAAGACGTCAAAAATTGTCAAATTTAGTGATAAACAAATGACAATTTTATAAAGTTAACGCGTCAGAGCCTCCTCTACATTGTATTAAAATCCATTTTTTTTTTGAATCAGAGTAAAATTACTAGTCTATAAGTTAAAAAAATCGTCAAAAATTTGACAAACTTTTGACACAAAAATTGACAATTCTGAAAAAATAGCGCCATCGTAGCCGCTTTTTTACTACACTTAAACTCAATTTCCTTACAAAACCGTGT